GAGGGATGGAGAGAGGGGAAGGGAGAGGAGGGGGGAAGAAATCAAGAGAGGAGAGAGTGCTCGCAAGAGCACGGGGGCCTGTGGCTTCTAGGGTACCACAGTCCTGGGATGCTGCAGGGTTAGGCTTGAGCCCAGAGTTCCAGGTTCTGCCGCCTGTGAACCTACCAATCAAGTCCTGTCACCTTGAGCTGTGAAGGCCTTATTTACATTACATTGTTTGTGCTTAAAATTTTTATATGGCATGTTGCTTTTTGATGTACAACGACTTTTAGTTGGGCCTCAGTAACCTTTTATATATTTGAATGTGTATGTTATATATATTTATAATTTACATGAGTGAATGGAGTTGACATACTCATGAAACCAATAAATTACTCTTAGTAATGTCTCTTTGCATAGAGGCAACCGAAATGTCCATCAACAGATGAATGGATAAAGAAGATGTGGTACATATAGACACTGGAATACTATTCAGCCATCAAAAAGGATGAAATAATGCCAATTGCAGCAACATGGATGGACCTAGAGATTATCATACTAAGTGAAGCAAGTCAGACAGAGAAAGACAAATATCATATGATATCACTCATATGTGGAATCTAACTTAAAATGATATAAATGAACTTATTTACAAAACAGAAATAGACTCACAGACATGGAAAACAAACTTATGGTTACCAAAGAGGAAAGCAGGGGACAGACAAATTAGGAGTTTGGGATTAACATACACACTACTATGTATAAAATAGATAACCAACAAGGACCTACTGAATAGCACAGGGAACTCTACTCAATATCTTGTAATAACCTATAATGGAAAAGAATCTAAAAAAGAATGTACATATATATATAAATGAATCACTTTGCTGTAAACCTGAAACTAACACAACATTGTAAATCAACTGTATTTCAATAAAATGTTTTAAAAAGTCTCTTTAAGATTTATACATGTTACCACTCAGTGTGCACCACCTATGTACATTATTACATGTATATATTATACTATAGATGTAACATATATTATCTAGCCCTCCTGCTGCCATTACCTGTGTAAAGAAACGTGTTGGAATGTCCTCCCACCACTACGTCCACGCCCTTCACTTTCTGAGCGATGAGTTTATCCATTTCAAAACCAGAATGTCCCAGTGCAATAATTTTGTTCACATTTAGAGTTTTTAGCTTATCTACTTCAGGTTGCAATGCAGCGATCTCATCTTCGAATACTAAATTCGTTCCTAAGGAAGAAAATAAATATGGACATTTATTGACAACAATTTTTATTATATTGCTTATTATACAAGCATACCAAATAAAAACATCTTAATCTCCTAAAGCTCTTAAATTACTAAGACCAAAACTTATTTATAAATTCAGTATAAAATCTCTACAAAGCCAATAAAAATTCACATCAATATGCTCAGTTGCATTCACTTAATGTTGCACTGGTTTAAGGTTATGGATGATATTATGTTACTCAAATTCCAACAGTGAGAAGGCTTCAGATTTGGAATCTCTATTTTTTTTTACATCTATTTGTATATTTAGACTTCCATCAGGCCAATGCTGAGCGTGGCTGAGCACATAAGCATGATGGTGGACTGTATCTATGCCAAGTCACAATGCTGCACACCTTAAACCCATACAGGTGCTGGATGTCAATCATATCTCAATAAAACTGAAAAAACCAACCAGATTAGCTACTCTATGGCTTTGTTTGCAAGTTCAACATAATCAGTCTTCACACTTGAAACTCTTGTCAGCAATTAGCCCTTGAATGCCAATTGTACGACACCGTTGACAACTCTGTCTTGTCCACTGGCTAAGGTCAGCATTAGAGCATCACGGAGCTCTGATTAGATGGCAGGGGGTGTCTCATCCAAGGATTGCTGGCCCTGGGAGCATGCACATCCTTCCCTGGTGGCTCGCCCCGCATGCAGTGGGAGCGGAAGCTTGACCGCTGGTGCAGCTGGTGAGTATGGGTGTGACTCCCCAGCTGGGCGCTCTGTGTGTCGCAGGCATGTGCTACCCCTGTGGCCAAACCCCAGCGCGGCTTGAGGGCTTATGGCTCTGACTGGCACACAGGTGACTGCAAACACAGACACGCTGCCCTGAAGTCACATCCAGCCGCCTGTGACTCGGGATCGTCTAGAGGATCCAGATTCCCTTATGCAAATATCTCAGAACCATCTCTCAAGTGAAAATGCCGAAACATGAATCAGTCTTGTAACGATCTTTCGAAACCCAGGAGTCTGCCATCTCCAGTGCTACAGGACCATTAAACTCATCCCTTGTGATGCCGTGGGGTTTGGGGGTCTCCGTGTGCTCCAGTGGGGAACTCTGGAGTCTCTCGAATCAGTCAAGCCAACACGTGCCAATGAGCACATAAAATAAACAGCATGGCTGATGGCAAAGCCGGGGGCATCCCAGACGGACGGCCTGAAAATGAGTGGCTCACAGATGTGGGGTGGGACCCACAGTGCTGTAAGTAACTCACAGGCAACATTTAAAAATCAAGAGGTGATGTCTGCAGGGCAGAAATAGAGACACAGACTAGAGAACAAACGTATGGACACCAAAGGGGGAAAGGGAGGGTGGGATGAATGGGGAGATTGGGATTGATATATATACACTAACATGCATAAAACAGATAACTAATGAGAACCTGCTGTATAGCACAGGGAACTCTACTCAGTGCTCTGTGGTGACCTAAACGGGAAGGAAATCCGAAAAAGAGGGGATATATGTATACATAGAGCTGATTCATTTTGCTGTACAGCAGAAACTAACACAACATTGTAAAGCAACTATACTCCAATTAAAAAAAGAAAAAGAAATCATCTATCCAATCCTACTTTACTTTTGAAAAGTAAATAAATATTGATTTTTTTCAAAAAAAATCAAGAGGTGTAACAGCTTGGCCACCATTGTCTGCCATGAGGCCATCAAGAATAATATGCTTCTTGCCAGTCACCCCAAGAAGCTCAGGGCTCCCAGGTCACCCTCAGTGCCATGTCACCATCTCTGTGAGCTGCTCACCGAGTCTCTCCTTAAAACGACAAGGTGCGCTCACCCCATGCCCCACTTGCCACCCCATCTCCTGCTTAATTTCTCTTTATAACATTTATCACCTTCTGGCACCAAACATTTTCCTTATTTATTTCTTCTCCCACTAAACGTGAAGTTCCAGTGGGCAGGGCTTTTTTTGGGGTCAGTATCTCTGACGCCTAGAACAGTGCCTGGCACAGAGGCAAGCTCTCAGGGGAATGAATGAATGAATAACTGAAGAAATGTTTGCTGAGACTTTCAGACAACGCTACCGTCCTCTACTTCAGTGTGGCTGGCAAGAAGAAAGAAAAAAGTTGAGAGAAAGGCCTCTGAGGACAAAGGAATGTATTCTCCTAACACATCAGAAATCTCACAGAATCGGTCATCTCACATACAGAAAGCATGGGATATATTTCAGGATATCATGAGGGGAGTGAGAGGAAGTCCATTATCTAGCTAAAATAAATTAAATGTGCTAGAAATACAAATTATACCCGTGGGTCACCAGCACGGGAGGAATGAGGCTGGATTTGGGGTCAGAGGTCTGTAGGGGGAGCCGGGCTGCTGGGACTGTGGTCTTGGGAGAAGCAAGTGTCCTCCTCCACCCCTGCCCAGCTCCTGCTCTGGCCCCTGCATGGTGCAGCCTTTCTCTCCTGAGAGCTGCTGGAAAGAGCATGGCCCCTTCGGAGCCCCTGTCTGTTGTAACCAGGTAAAGAACTAAGATGGGGTGCTGTCAGAGTCCCAGACAGGGTGGTCTGAGTTCTAGAGCCCTTTGTCTCTCCACCACCCCACTCCCCTTCTATCTTTTTACTGGTGACTATTAAAAAAAATTTTTTTTTTAAGTCTTTATTGAATTTGTTACCATACTGCTTCTGTTTTATGTCTTGGTTTTTTGGCTGCGAGGCATGTGGGATCTTAACTCCCCTATCAGGGATCGAACCCGCACCCCCTGCATTGGAAGGCAAAGTCTTAACCGGTAGACTGCCAGGGAAGTCCCTTTCTTGGTGACTATTAAAGGAGGCGTAATGCTTTTCTCCAAATCATGCTGAACTCCTCAGCCTGACAATCCAGTCCTCACACCCCCTTTCTAGCTTTCTCTGCTTAGAACCCATGTTCCAGAAAACTGAACACCCAGCCACTTTGGGATTGTGGTCCCACACCTGCCTGCTCTCACGAGTTCATTCCAGCAACTTTCACTGGGCACCTCCCCTGTGCTGACACCCAGCAGGTCCCTGTCCTCAGGAGCTTGTGTCCTATCAGGTGACTCTGACCTCACTCCTGGAATGCCTTTTGCCCCAGTTGCTTCGCACACCCTGGAGAGGCCAAGCAAGGTCTTCATCGTGTCTACCTCACCCCCAAGCTGGCCATCACGTCCTTCGCTCACCGGAACCCCTCCCTCTCCCTCCCTGACTTTGTTTATGACTCTCCTATGGCGTTAATTACATGCCGCCTTAAATGAACTCAAAACCCCCTGGGTGGAACAGACATTATGGAGACACATAATTATTCAGTTATTCAACACGTCCACATCTTTAGCCCAAGATCCTCTGCTGGCCACTCTACTGGGTTCCAGATTTTCACTGAGAGGAGACCCAGCTGTATCCTCAGGCTGCTCCAGTCATGCAGGAAGCCCAGAGCGAGGACAAATGTGACGAGGGGGAGGCGTTTTCTGGGGGTGACGGGGACCCAACAGCAGAAGCGTCCCATCCAAGGGCGCCCTGCGGCAACTGGGCCACATTACTCCAGCCCTACCCATATCAGTGATTGGTTCACCCTGTAATCGCCACCCTGGCCTCTTGGCAGAAAAGCCCCAGGTGGTTCAGAGGCAGCATCCCCTGAGCCCCGGGGAAGGTCTGATCAGCCCGCACAGCGATGTCTGCAGGGGTGGGGAGAGGAAGAGGTCAGGCCGGGTGGTGGAGAGCAGCCCAAGACTGTACTCCAGGTCCCTCCGGTGGGACCACATCCCTCTGAGGCAGAAGAGCACTCCTAAGACACTTCAAAAGCCAGTGCCTCAGCAGAAGCTAACACACCAGTGTAAAGCAATTACACTCCAATAAAGATATTAAAAGAAAAAAAGCCAGTGACTCATCACGTCCGTGGTTGCCCTCTGTGGCTTCACAATGACCTCAGCAACAGCTGGTGACCGTGTGCAAAGGCTTGGTCACCGTGGGATAGACGTCCACCTGCCACCTGGGGTGCCTGACAAGCCCCAGGTCCCCAGCCGTGGACAGCAGCCCAGCCCTGCCTCCAAGCCCCGCAGGACCCTCTGGCCCCCGGAGCCGCTCAAGGCCAACCATTGACCTTTTCGCTGTTTCCGATGGCCTGCAACTATTTTTAAACAGCAGCAACAAACATGTGACTTTTCTAATTGTTAATTAGATGTCCTTTATCAGTTCATTCTTAACGAAAACCCTTATTTCCCTTTTTTCTTCAAATGCGGAAAGAACACTGATTTGGATAATTTAGAAAAAAACATCTTTTTGTTTTTACTGCCAAAGTGCTCCTCTAAAAGTGGCTCAAAAATGTTTTCTGAATGGTCTCAGGGTTATACATATATATGTGTGTGCGTGTGTGTGTGTGTGTGTATAGATATAGCAGATATATACATATATCTATCTCCTGTATGATACACACACACACACACACACAAAGACCATTCAAAAATGTATGTATATTTCCCAGAAAGCCAGATACAACAAAGTCATTAAAACTGCAAGAGACAAATAACTAAAAACAGAGAAAGCAGAGTTAACTGGACATGTAATAATCATATTAGAAAAGGAAAGTTGAGGTAAATTGAGGTAAAACCCTGGCTCTGGGCTCTCTGCCTCCACAGGAAGAAGGGCGTGAGTCACGTGGCTCTCATCCTCCAGTGAGTGACTCTGTACCATTCAGCACTGGATATCAACGGCCCTCTCGTCCAATTCTGAATGCACTGAATTAAACGAAGATAGTTAATGTCAACAATGAAGTTCATTGAGCAGGAGGGTGAATGTCTTTAAGAAGTAACTCAGGGCAACTGGGAGCCACTGGACTGGTTTTTCAGTGTCATCCTAAGAACACACGTGTCCAATATCACACGTTCCTACTTTAACCAACAGTCCAGACAAATAATGCCAAGCTCTGATTTAGTGCATCTATTTTCAAGCAACAAGTGCTGTAAAAGAAGAAAATACCTGGATTGGAGAGAAAAGGGGTTTCTTTGGAAGTGTATCCAACAATCCCTACAACTTCATCACCAACAGGAAGAATTTTATACGGCAAATAAAGTCCTGATATTTGAGACGCCAGCGGCCCCTTGGCTTTAATGTTTGCACTCAGAATTGGAAATTTGGCCTCTTTGAGAAGTGGATCAATCAGGCCTTCTACACCATTATCAAATTCGTGATTTCCCAGTGCCTGGTGGAAAGGGAAAAGAGAAAAAGAATCAGGTACTCTGGGATTGCCAGTAAAAGCATACTTTAAAGAACATTACCTTGGGGAAATTCCCTGGCGGTCCAGTGGTTAGGACTCCGCGCTTTCACTGCTGAGGATGAGGGTTCAATCCCTGGTCGGGGAACTACAACCCTGCGAGCCACGCGGTGTGGCCAAAAAACAGTTACGCTGGCACAGGGCTCCCAAACCTGGCAGAGCCCTAGGAAGCCGACTGCATGACTGCTGTCCTTCTCAGGCTCAGAGACTTTATTCTGGGGCACTGGGGTTGGGCCCAGGGGCAACCAGATCATCAGGCTGGCTTGAAAACTGCTCCCCAGGGCCCACACCACCTGCTGAAGGTGGCATCAATGTGTGTAGGAGTCACCTAGAGACCTGGCTGGGTGTCCACTGACCTGCCACTCTCAGAACCTGGGACAGCTCAAGAGTATGTACGGGCTCAGAGCCAGGGCTTTGGGAGGAGCTGGCACGCTTTAACACAACCCTTGTTCCCACCTGCTTCCCTCGTTCCCTTTCCTCACTGTTCTGGGACTGGCTATAGGGGGCAAAATGACCACTTTGACGTCTGGCAGCTTCCCCTGGGGTGATGCTGACAATACACAACGTGCCAGCCACCTCCTTGAAGGCCTTCCGCCCCCCTGTCCGCGGGCCTCCTGGAAGAAGCCCACCTCCTGGGGGCACGCACCCACCTGCTCTGGCTGCCAAGGCTGATTTGCTAACTTAGTACTTAAACCAGTGAGTCTCAAACTTTCTCAACACCACACCCGATTTTGCTCCACCTTGAGGGTCATCTGAGAACAGGCCTGGAAGTGCTGGCGGGTGACCCCTCTGTCTAAATGAACACCCCCCCCATATTCTCTTACTGCCCCACCCTTCTCCTTCCTGCACGCTCCCCTCCGCAGCGGCGCGCTCTGCATGCCCGTGGGGTCCTCCCTGCGTGGAGGGCTCCCTGAGCCACTGCGTCCCACCACCTCCACCCTGCTCAGCCCTGGAGCCCCTCACCTGCCTGGCAGGTGCCCCCTGGGTGCCTGGGCTCAAAGGGCCATGTGCGTCGTGTCCTCACGTGCACTGTGTTTCCACGCAGAAAGCAGCAGTGTCTTCATGTTCCCACGTGCCTGTCTCTCCGACCAAACTCAGAATTTCTGAACTTGCCTCCCCCCGCACCCCGCCCCGGCTCTGAGTATCTGCTCATTTTTACTTCTTCCTCTTACCTAACTGCTTCCCTCTTAAAGGCTGCCCGAGTTAAAGGTTCTCCCAGTCTTCGGTAATTGCCTTTTTCTCTTCTATTCTTAGAACGTTATGGTTCTTTCCTATGGTGAAATAAGTCTGCCTTATGAGGTTACAATAACTATCTTGCTTAGCTGTAAAGTTTTTTTTAAAAATGAATGTTCCTACAGCTCTTCACGAGAGATTATCCAATAAGTCAGCCGCCTTACACTTTACCATTATATTGCTCGCACTCAGCAACAGCTGAAGTTACATTTTTCCTTTATTTATCTTGCTTGGTGTCTCCTCCTTGGACTTGAGTGTAATGCCCTGAAAGTGGTGACCTTGGCTGCCTTTTCCCCTCTCTGCCCCGCGGGGAGAGGAGCCCTGATCCGGGTGCTCGGAGCAGTGCACGGGTGCCTGAAATATCTCCCTGGTGCTCACACTTCCCACTCCAAATTGAACATCTGCTGCCCTGTCTTTTCTCCTGACTCTGCATCTGTCTGTCCGGCTGCCACGTGGACATTGCCCTCCAGGGTCTCACAGGCACCCCAAGCTCACCCGGTTCAAAGCCCCTGCCTCAGGCTTCCCTGGTGGCGCAGTGGTTGAGAGTCCACCTGCTGATGCAAGGGACGTGGGTTCGTGCCCCGGTCCGGGAAGATCCCACATACTGCGGAACAGCTGGGCCCGTGAGCCATGGCTGCTGAGCCTGCGCATCCGGAGCCTGTGCTCCGCAACGGGAGGGGCCACAACAGTGAGAGGCCCGCGTACGGTGGCGGGGTGGGGGGAGCCCCTGCCTCTGGGATTCCCATCTTGGTCCAGATGCCACCATCTCCCAAGTCAGTACAGCCAGAAGCCGGGAGGCAGCTGAATCCCTCCCCCTCGCTGCCTCTCCCACACCTCCCAGCAGCATCCCTCCCCTTTGGCTAAATGCTCCGGTTCAGCCCACCCCATTGCTCCCACCTGCCTGCGCCCTGGCCACTCCTTCTGGGAACTGCAACAGCTTCCCAGCTGGGCCTCCGGCTACCACCATCGCCTTCTCTGAACCATCCTGCACGCATCTTGCTGCCAGAATCATCTTTCCAAAATGCAAATATGAACTTGTCGGTCCGACCTTAAGGTCCCACAGAGGCTCCCCACTGCCTTTGTGATAAAAGTTCAATGTCCTGAGCTCTCTGAGGTCTGGTCTCGCCTTCCACTTCAGCCTCCCTCTGACACCCACCCCCAGGCAGCAGTCAGGCCTGGCGCCATCACTAACGAGCGGTGATTCAGGCACATTTCTAAACTGCAGCTTCCTCTGGAAGAGCAGTCAATGAATAAAACAAAAGTCGTAATGAAAATGAGCCGGCATTTACTAAGCACTCGCCACACACCATGCAAGGTGAGTTTGCAGAGCAAAGCTGGTTTCCTGCTGTGACGCTGGTATTATTACTATCCTCATGTTACAGAGGAGAACCACTGAGCTCTACAGACATTAAATCAATCGTTCAAGGTCACACGATTAGTAAGCGGTGGAGCTGGGACCAGAGCCACTTCTGTTTGACTCCAACCTTCTTTACCTCTATGCTTGGATGTAATGGGTTTCGCATAAGGTCTAGTACAAGGTGAGCACTCGAAATAAAATCCTGACTACTCGTACTTTTCCATGCTCTCATGGATCTCTGTCCCTCTGTATATGATGGATAAAAGATGATCGACTGATTCATAGATAGGGAGACAGAACATTCCTTTCCCATGCCAGGCCTTTACTACCTTATTCAACTAATGGCCTTAGCTCCTGAAGTCTGATGGTCCTTCTGGAAGAAAGACTTCCCCAAACCCTCGTGGTCGTCCCTGAGTTAGCTGTCCTTCTCTGCTCCAAAGGTCCCCTCAGGCAGCCCTAGCAGACTCCACAGCTGCCCACTGAGTCCCCGTATCGCCCAGCACAGTCCCTGGAGCAGAGCATGAATAAATGAATGAGCAGAAAAATCTCCATCAAATGTCCTCCTACACACAGCTGACTCTTCCTACAAAAATCAAGGCAGGACGTGCTCCACGGAGTTGCCTGGGAGTGACCTGGTGCTCACTGCCGGCTCTCCCACCCTCCCCATGGCTCCCTGCTGCCCCCATCCCGCCATCGACCTCCAGCAGGAACTTACCCTCAGTAAGCCAGTGAAGGAAACACTTGTGAGGACGCGCGTGATCCCAGGTGTTGGGAAAGAGGCTCCACAACAC